GTATATAAATAAATTATCCGGACAACCCCGGACAATTGATTTACATCAGCCAATCACACGAAAGTCCTCCTATGAATGCCGTGCATTATAAAATTTGGACATTTTACATAGACGCCCAAATTAATGTCTAACTTCGCCGTGCCAACAGTAGAGTTTCTATTTGACATTCAAAGTCCTTGGGCGTATATCGCGTCAACTCGTATATCGGTAATAGTTAGAAGAACGCGTGCAAAAGTATTATGGACACCGGTTTCACTGGGAGGAGTATATGAGGCAGTAAAGGCACCTCAGGTTAGAACCTAAAAGGGTATATATGTAGTGGTCTAAAAGTAGGCTTGATATGTGAAACGAGTGGGGACAAAACGACATCCGATAAAAAATTTTTTTTGCTCTGCAAAATAAACTCGGGAACATTTTTTACTTGCATAGAAAAATTGTTACCATAATAAATTTTTGCGTTATTATTGAAGTATTATAAAATCGACCAGATTCATTAATATATTGTATTTTATTAATTCTTGACTAAGTAAATCCAAATTTAATCCGTGAATATGATCAAGAAGATCATCTTCATGGATCAAATTTGTATTTATAAATTACAAGCTATGATGTTATGCCTTTTTTGATCGATCACTACTGTGTGTCAAAAACACAAATATTGGTTTTTCTCGTGATTTCTAATTTGTCGTTTTGTCCCCTTTTTCCAGCACTATATTTTGTCTAATAAATAATGGTTGCATTGACGATTTTTAATTTTTATAGAGTAAAGCAGGTAAAATTAAATGAATTCAATTATTTGAATCATCTATAATTTTTTAATCATGCACTTTCTTCTAGGAAATTCTACATACGTAATGGGGCCTCAAAGAGCCACATACCATCAGCTTGATTTTAAACGAACTTTACGTCGAAATAATTTGAAAATAAATTATCAACCAAATCATCCTGTCAAAAGTTTAGATGGTAATTTTACAACTTAAGAAATTTATTTTTTACAGGCTTTATAGAATTCTCACGTAAAGCCATTTTTTTATTCAGCCCTTCGACTTTTACACGCGACGCCAGATACACATCGCGAACAGCTAGCACACGCACTTTACCATTCTTACTGGATACAAAATAATGATATAAGTGATCGTAGACTCCTTCTTGCGACCGCGAAAGAATTAAACATTCCGTCTGAATATCCGCTTGACAACTCGATATTCACAAACACGACAATTCAAGAGCGACTTCGAAAAGCAACTCAAAGAGCCGTAAATCTTGGTGCTCCAGATGTCCCCTCGTTTGTAATAAACAATTATCAGAATAGTGGAACGGAACGATTATTCTGGGGTCAAGATCGATTGCATTTTGTGGAATTAGCGTTGGAGCAAGCTTCGCGTGGTGTAAGTTCTTTTAAAGAGATTGATAATATCGACAAATATTATCCGAGGTGTGTTAAGCGTGGTACGAAGAGCGATAAAGAAAGAACTTTGAGATTTTGGTTTGATTTCGCATCACCATGGTCTTTTTTGGCGTATACGCAATTAGAGAGAATTAGACGCGAGGCTGGTGATAAAGTGAAAATTGAGTATATGCCATTTCTATTAGGGGCAGTGTTTCGAAAGTATGTAAACTTTCAATTTAAAGCATTTATTATGATGATAATAATTTCCACTGAGAAATTTGTTTTTTTCAGACTTGGAATGGCAGATATTCCATTATTTACGATGCCAAAGGCAAACCAACAATATTGGACATTTGATCTACTTGATTGGACGGATTTCTGGAATGCTCTTGCTTTGCAATCGGATCCGAATTACAAACCATTCTCATTCAAGTGGACTCAAGTATTTCCGATTCGTAGTATCACCGCATTACGCGTTTTTCTACTGGAACCGAAAACGATTGATTGTCTCTGTAAGTTGTTGTTTTAACTTCTCATTTTCTTCATTTGCAATTTAAAAATTATACAAGTTTTTTTTTTTTTGATTTTCATCTTATCGATCAAAGTTAAAGCTTCATGGCAAGATGATATTCCATTAGGAACATCCGAGGAAATTCTCGCCAACGTATTGAATAAAGGTGGATTTGATGGACCCGCGTTGATTCAGGCCACAAAAAACAATGTTAACAACGTTAAAGATCGGTTACTCAAGAATACAGAATTGGCTGTTGAAAAAGGATTATTTGGCGCGCCGATTTTCCAAGTCGATGATGGACAACTTGTGTGGGGTCAAGATAGAATTAATGTAGTAGAAGATTTACTTGCTGGATGGGAAGATGTTGATCAAAGTGACAATGAAGTTTCTGCGAAATTATAAAAATGGTTAATTTATTTATCCGTTGTGATAAAGTTTTTGATTTAAAAAAATGCTGCCGATTGTTTATGTTTATGGAGAAACAAAAAACAAACAATGTACAGTCTTTATTTATATGTAAATTCACACGTGTAATCATCACTGTCATCATGACGAACATTCTATTTATTTTCAAACATATAAAAGAAACGGTTTTATTTGAATTTATAATTAATTAATTCAATTCAACTTGATTATAATAAAGAAAAATGAACGATCCAATGATGGAGTTGCCACTGGTTTGTCATTACGTTTATATAGCATTTATCAATTAATTGAATCAACTGATATTGTCTTAGGTGATTAATAGTCTAATGGCCACAGATTCGACGTATATTGACCAACTTCCAATAAGAGAATATTGTGAGCAAAAATTTCCATATTTTTAATTTTAAACTATCAGCATCTGTTATATAATATTTTTTTAACAGTCACCGAAGACGTCGAATTTCGGCATCCGTTGGTCGTGGTGAACAGTGACGCGAATTCTCGGGAGAATATGTTATCGTTATACAAGTTTTCAAAAGGTTGGTTAATTAGTGTATTGTTGTTATGTTCCCAATTTGAATCAATTCATGTTTTTCGATGTTTCATAATCTCTATTTTTCAGGTCTTACGTGGAGTAATCGTATTGAAGTGCATCAAGTTTGTAAGTTATAATTGTTTTTTAACGTTAATGATTTAAAATTAATTGAAATTTAATTGAAAGGGTTTCACGAGGCAAAAAAGATTGGCTTGGTACAATTCACACAACACATTCAACCATTATTATTTCCATACTTGAATGTCACAATGAAGTAAAAAAAATTATAATTGATTTAGTTTTTTCAATTCATTGATTAACAAACATTCTAATTTTTTATTCATTCTGGGAATAGAACAATCGCACAACTAGAATTCCGCCTCACAAAAGACGGCAGAAAATGGTTAATTTCGCGTCTCGAAGATGTGATTCCAAATGAAGATCTATTGAATGCGGTGATCCCACATTCGCGTCCTTTCGTAAATTATTTTAAGGCGTTGGGAGGACTGGCTGCTGTTGGAGTTGGTAGCATTTTTGAAAAAGTTGGGTGGTGTTAACGATGTTGATATAATAAATAAATAAATATATATATATATATATATATATATATTTATTATTATCGTAATAACGATTCTTTATCAGATAGATAAATGCATTGTTTTGTAGATCTCAATTAAGGTTTGATTGTTTGATTAATACGGATATAACCAAATTCAACGCATATAAAATTTACTTTTACTCTGCAAAAATACTTGAATAAAAAATCAAAATAATGTCGTTCTCTTCTTTCCGTTTACTTCGTGCCGTTTCACGACGGGAACTATACATAACGCGTCCAAATTTTACTGCCAGCACCACCACCCTTCTCAACTTTCCATTTTCTTTCACAAATGGAACTAGGGCAGCCGCTTTACCATTCTCCAAAACGGCACGCGCCTTCTCAACCGCAACTGAAGAAAAAAGCGGAGGCGGCGGTAGCAAACTAGTTTGGATAGCCGCTGGTCTTGTTGGAGCGGGAGCAGGCTATTATATCTTTTCGACGCAACAAATCATTCAAAAGGTAGAACCACTCGCGGAGGCAACGCCGCCGCCTAAAAAAGAAATCGATTATCAGAGTGTTTATAATCAAATTGCGGATATTTTGGAGGACAATGACTATGATGATGGGTCATATGGTCCTGTACTTTTACGGTTAGCATGGCATTCATCCGGAACTTATGATAAGGAAACGGGGACTGGTGGAAGTAATGGTGCAACCATGCGATTTGCACAGGAAGGCGGATATGGTGCGAATGCTGGATTAAACGTTGCCCGAGATAAATTAGAGTCGATCAAAGAGAAAAATCCGGAAATTTCATACTCAGATTTGTGGACTTTAGCTGGTGTAGTTGCAATTCAAGAATTGGTTAGCACATATATATGCATATGTCACTTCTATCGAATGAATGTTATCAGTATATTAATTAATGTTAACAAATTGCGCGCATATAGGGTGGACCGACAATTCCTTGGAGACCCGGACGGTAATTTTCGTAAAAATGGGTTTTTTCTAATATTTTACTTAGTGTTAATATTAGCTTATATTATACAGTGTTGATGCTGATGTATCATTGACCACACCTGATGGACGACTTCCGGATGCTGAGAAAGGCGCTAAACATATCCGTGATATATTTTACCGAATGGGCTTTGATGATCGGTAAATTCCAATTTCCTATTATTATTGAAAACGCGAATCTGAACATTAACTCGAACAATAATTAACGAAACTAATACTTTTGATAGTGAAATTGTGGCTTTAATTGGTGCTCACGCACTCGGTCGATGTCATCCTACACGAAGTGGATTTGATGGGCCATGGACTTCTTCGCCGACAGTCTTCACCAATGATTTCTTTAAAGAACTCTTGAATAAGAAATGGGTCGAGAAAAAATGGAAAGGACCAAAACAATATGTGGATAAACAAACTGGTTCGTTTAAATTAATTGGTTATTTAAATCGTTGCGGGATTTATTAATTTCTTTTTACTTTTCTTTGTGTATCCAATACATAGGTAACTTGATGATGCTTCCCGCAGATCTTGCATTTATTCAAGATAAATCATTCAAATCATGGGTCGAGAAATATGCAAAGGATGAACAATTATACTTTAAGGATTTTGCTGAAGCTTTCACAAAGCTATTGGAATTAGGAGTGCCATTTACCGGCAATGAAAAAGTATACACGTTTAAACCTACCACCCAATAATTATATATATGTCTAGAAATTGAGCAGTAGTGTTTTAAATTATTCGTTAATAAAAGATTTCGAGAATTAAACTACTTCAATATATGTCAAGTTTTGGTGACCTAACAATCTAAGTAGGTGGTTCTTTCACTACTGAAATGACCACGAATACAACAAAGATCGATCTTCATCTTCGCGAACAATAGAAAATAACTAGTGATTTCTTTATCTGACGTTGATATTATTTTACTAATAATTAACTTGAGCGTATATAATCATTTTATAAAAATTCTTACTCCTTTCAAATTCTTTTTCCTTCAGATGACTGAATATCTATAATCACTCTGAATCAATTCTCGGAAATTTTGATCGCACGGTCTAGCCGTTTTTGTAGGCCACTGAGAAGTATAATTTGCAAAGTAAAATAAAACATCAGTCTTATTCATTTTATTAAAGTTGATAATTGGTCTTTAAAATGCATACCGGATTGCGTCTTTCTTATACAATAAATTTAGCGAACATCTGGCTTTCCAAACCGGCAATATAATAGGAAATTGTATACTGAAGTAAAAAAAAAACGCGTTAATTGATTTGAAAATGATTAACAATGAAAATTCAGGTAAAATATAAGTTGATTACTTATTATTCGAGCTTTTTGAAGGATCAAGAGAAAATAAGATGCCTCCTTCGTCTGCGGGAAGAAAAGATCCAATATAATATTATTCATCTTAATGAAAAAATTTGTTACAACGAATCAAAATCGATACTAACTAAAACTGTAACTTACCCAAGTCATTTAACCGACTTATGACACTTGGTGAAAAGTTCGAGATCAACGGCGCAGTTTCCTCCATTAATTTTTGTACAGCTTCGACACCAACATACACTATACGAGTATCTTGGATAAAAGGCGCAATTATAAAAAGACCATCCTGGTGAAATCGGAATGGACATCTCACATTAACATTAGAATTTGTTCGTGTGAAAGCCTTTATACCGGTATTCACTACCTATAATCATAATTATTTTTTTGGATTAATATCTTGTAGATAAATAATTAAATTCTTTACGTACCCTGAGTCTTTTGGAGTCTTGTGCTCTTAAAATGTATTGTATAGAGTCGTTAACAAAGTATATGACATTGTGTTCATTATTTGATGAACGAACTAGAAATTGATTTACAGGAAAATCACGGCTTAGACCATAAAATTCGCTGCACGAAAAAATAATTAGATTTAGCCTAGTTATATATTGACAAACTCATTATTATTATTATTATTATTATACCTTATTGATTTGACTTCGTGATGTTCCGAATCTAAGAAAATGAATGGTTCTTCGTATGATATTCCATGTGTTTTTTCCTTAATTTGTTTCCCTTTATTATCAGAATTCGCATTTCTGTCGACAGAGATGGTTTCTGCCGTATCTGAGTTTTCATCATCGGATACCAATGGTTCAGTGATGACAGATGGTAGCTCAGCTATCTCACCATCGGATAACAATGGTTCAGTGATGACAGATGGTAGCTCAGCTATCTCATCATCAGATAACAATGGTTCAGTGATGGTAGATGGTAGTTCAGCTATCTTATCATCTTTCTCGCTGACATCCATTTTCGAAATCGTGTCCTGTGAAGCGACATTATTCCCAGTATTATCTTTTATCGGTCCTGTCTTTTCAAATACGGCGACAAAAAATCCTCCGGTATTTTGCAGGTGGGGGTAAATTCGCCAGCTGAGGAAATCGAGGCAAACCAAGCTGATAAATATATTATTTCTAATATGTAAAATAACGAGAGAGGAAACTTTTAGTTCACCATCTTTCCAGATTCATTTCATTTGAATTGGCTGGAGGCCATAATGATTTCGCATAATGTCTTTGTTTATTGGGAGGAAGATCTTCCCATTTTTCAATCCATTGTTGTTCTTTATCCATAACCTGTTGTTTAAAATATTTATTTTATTCAAAAGAGGATTATAATTGCTTAAGAATCAAATAACATACCTTCCATGTCAATAACCCAGGTAATCTTTTGAATTCGGGAAGCTCATTCGAAACATCCACGAGATGAAGATTTCCTACAATAAGGCGGGATTCATTAGGTTATAAACTTTTGGATGTTTGTTAATTCATAATGAATCGGAAAATTTCAGTACCATTAGCTCGTAGCAAGACCTCTGCAACTACTGCCTCGTTTTCAATAGGATTAAGAGAACAAGTTGAATAGACTATACGGCCATGATCTTTTAAAATTTGAGCACCACGAAACAGAATTTTTACTTGTGTCCTAAATAATTGAAACCTTTTTTGAGAATCTAAAGATATAGCAAGTATCCATCAATAAGATATAATGATAGCTTACTTGTGTAATCCAAGAGCATCACCAATCTTCCATTTATGCCAGATGACTGTATTCTTGCGAATAGTCCCATCACCGCTATTAAAAATAAAAGCGAAAAAGGAATTAGTTATTTGAATCGCCATCGAGAAGAAACTTTCTATTTTCAGGACAATCAAACTGATATTCCGTTATAATGATGACTAATTAAAATCTCGGTATAACGATGACAACCCAAAACACTTCTAATAAATTTCTTTCGGCATAACGATTTTTATAATAAATTCTTGATATAACGATATTCTCTGAATTTGTTACTGATTATCCCGAACATATCGTTATATCGAGGTTGATTGTATTTAGATACCTGCATGGAACATCGGCTAAAATTCGATCAAATGAAAGTTGCTTCTTTTTAGTTTCCCTATCACCCTAAATACAAGACAAATATTTTTAAAACGCGTCTTGTATTTATAAAAAGACTATAGATGAATTAACTTCGATCAATATAATACCCTATCTAAGATAATAGAAGGAAACTGTCCTGCATCATGATTCGTTATAAGTACACACGGGCTTTGTAATCTTTTAACCTGACGCACGAGCATATGAGATCGTTTTTGGTCCAAATCATTAGCTATGATGACACCAGCTGATAATAATCATAAAGATGTAAAAAGTATTAATTTAGCAAACACAAATAAATAAAAATGATAAAGCATTGTATATTACTTGGAACATCATTTGATTGCGCGATGTTAACATGTAAGGCTTCAATCAGTTGAGCAGTTTTTGAGCCAGGTGCAGCGCACATGTCTAATACATAATGATGGGGCTTTAGATCAAGTAACAGTGGTGGGATCATGCTCACAGCTTCTTGCCGACTAATATGACCCTAGAACCATATCAAGAAAATTAAATTTACATAAAAATCTTATATTAACAATATAAATGATGGATTCCATTATACATACCGCTTCTGTCTCTGAAACCAGCCACTGATGGAATTCTTTAAAATGTGGATGTTTTTTTATTGCAAGCTTTGGTGCAGTATGTTGCCACGCAAGTTCGTCCGGATACCTAACAGAATCAATATAAAAAAAAAACTTATTTAACAAATTATTAAAATGATCTGAAATTATAAATTTTTTGATCTTGATTATACCAATTTAATGGAAAGGGAGCTTCAGCCTTTTCTCCTTCTTTAAATGATATCCCACACAAAGCAGGTACATGTTCCACTTTCATTATGTCTCGCAACTCATGGGCATTACTATGTTTATGGATCAATTCATATCAAAATTAGCTCTTGATATCGATAGGAAACGAGTGATTATTCGCAACGATAAATTAGATTTGATCGGTTAGAAGGATCAATATTTTCCTTGAATTTCGGTCGGTCTGAGCTAAGAAATGAATAATAGGCTAATGTAAAGACTGAGAATTACTTTTTTGTGCCGCATATTCGAAATGTAGTAGGAAGTATAATGCGTAGTTGCTCCAAAAATTTCACCCATTCTTCTTCCGGGAGAATATTTTGAGCCTATATATATATATATATATATATATTAAATAAACATTCAGAACTTTATTTATTTTGTATCGATTTACTGATGAATCAGTAATCAAACTTCAAGATATCGCTAATGCAAAATCGAGAAAATACTAATAGATATCGCTAAATTGAACTCGATCTCAATATAATGATCTGGGAACAAGAGTCGCTAACTCGCGATTTCATTAAATCGCATAGTCGTTAAATCGAGCCCTGACTGTATACATGATCACATATATATGTACCCTATAATACTTTTCAAAAACTTCATTTTCTTTAGTAATTTCTTCAAAATTCCTATCATTATCTCGTCTTGTAGGGCGTTCCTCTTTTGTTATATCATTTTTTTGCCGTTTTCTGAAACGTTTTTTATTCCGTCTGTTAGACCCTTCTTTTCTTGTATTACTTTGAGGTGTGGACATTTTGTCTAAAGAATTCAATAGTATGAGATTGGCTGATGATCTTGAATTTTGTGTAGATCTGATCTTCAGTTTTCTTTCCAAGAAAGAAAATTATATTGCAGCATTAACTTTTTTCTCTTTTTATGTCCTTACCTTTGTCTATTCTTTCCCTCGTCTTATGTCGTCAAACACTCAATAAGTGAAGTGTTGCGAATATTGTCACCTGATAGATCATGAAATATGAATCAGTGTCACTAAGCTCGTTTGGGCTTTGTTAATGAACGCGAAGTTTATGAATTTTGTCACGATGAACAAATCAACGTTGAAAAAAATTGATCAGTCCTGCTGTAGTAAATTTTGTTGATATCCGCACTAACAATAATCACGAATCAGATTTTGAATCCTCGGAAAGTGAAGGAAGCCGAGTGTGTGTTTTTAAACTAACTGCTCCTGTTTCTTGCTCATTCAGTCTATTTTGGAGGAGCGTAGGAATCTAATTATAGTTTTTTGGTGAGAAAAAGGTATTTGACGATTAATTCTCTCAATATGTAGACTTTTTTTGGATCGGGAGACTCTGAGTGCTTGCCAAAAATAAAGCAGATTTTCCGAAAACGTTTATCTGAGAAAGTTTTGGAGGACATCAAGCAAACGGGTCGAATTCTGATATCATCGCCTCCGTTTCAGGAAAGACGGCCTTGCTATGGAGAGGGTCTTAAAGTTGTTGGCATCTCCTTTGCTGGATATGTTGCACATCAAAATGTGTGTATGAAGATCGGATCGCAGGCAGAAATCAATACTCTTCTCTTATATTCAAAAGATAGTGGCAATGGAATGTGCTGACATAATCGTAGATTCTAATAGTTTATTGATCATCGACGATTATCACATAGAGGTATGGCTATAACAGGTTTTCTCTCCCTTCTTAGGAATTTTGGGCGAAGTTAAGGTCCATGCTGTTCAGTCCGGTTTTCAAAGCAGTAACTTGGTTAACGTCTACGTATGGTGTTCGGGCAAGTTGATTGGGCAACACAGCCGCATGTTGCTTCACCAACCATCAAGGATATTGTTTTTAATATATGAATATACGGAGTTTGCTGCTGAGTTTAGGAAGTATTCAAAAGACGATCATAAGAATTTGGTATTGTCACAGACTTTACGGATGCAATATGGAGAGCGATGCAGGGCTACACAGGTTCATGTCGTTAGCGTTGTGCAAGGACTTACGAAGACTCCTAAAGATTGGGTAGGAGACATTGAATCGGAGGCGTTACAGTTTATTTCGGACGAGCAGCTTACGAAGCAATTGCAAAATTCTCGAGCTTTTGCAAGTATATTGAAAGAGCTCACAGGACTGAGTGAGTGAATTGCAAAATATTCTCCGGGAAGTCATCCAAAATGGTTACATATCTTTAGACACAACATTACCTTGGCTTCTCTTTTGAAGCTTGGGATAATGGACTAGATCTATCTTTTAGTTGCCCAGTCGTGGAACAGAATCCACCAGGGCGACCCCAAAAATTCGGGCCACGTGATATTGTCGATCAGCACCAGGATGCTGTTCTTATTTCGGGTCATGTGATTACACACAACCAATAGTTTATGAGAATTATTAATAAACAAACTTGTATTAACAATTGTTACATGTAACAACTTCAATATTAACCAATTACATATTCAAAATCTTAATCCTAATCCTAATCAGGTTCTAATTAGCCAATTAAAATGCGATTGTTACAAAGAATAATTGTTACAAATATATTTATATAACAAATTTTATTATTTAAAGATAAAGTAATATTCTAGTATTTTTATCCAGCTCAATTTTTTCCTCACGTGATTTTATGATCCGATTTTTCCAGTCAACAATTATTCAAAACATTTTGCATTATTAAAAATTAGGATTGATTTTTGGATTATATTATACTATTGTTTTCGCCCATTTCTAAACGTCGATTTGCATACAAGTCGCCACGGGAAGCCTTTAGAACACCCAAAGAAACCCTTTACTCGTAAATAATTCAGTCTAGCTCTCATCC